CTGCCTGAGCAAGCACTTTAGTCAGTTGAGCTATCTCGCTGGCCCACAGACTGAGCAATTCAGTAGCTTAGATCCTATCTAAAAACTAAAATAATTTTTTAAAGGTTTGGGAATGTAGCTAAGTGTGAAGGCCCTGCATTTAATCCCCAGTACCTTAATTTAATATATATTTATAAGAATATATATAAAATATATAAATATACACCACCTTTGTACTGGTCACACACCTTAAAACTAAAAGTATTTGTCAATTGACTTGACCTGCCCATTTTACATGCTTTCCCCTTCCCACCTTGTCAGTCATTCAGGATTTTCTGTTTACCTATGCCATACACATTTTTTGGTAGTTTTAAGTACATACAGATACGTTCCTAAGTAATATCTAGAATTGTACTTTGTGAGAAGGGTGAACTGCATGTTTTAATACTTTCTATCAGTGGTATCATAGAATATTCATTCTCCTGCATCTTGCTTTTTTAAAATTCAATGCTGTTAAATTCATCTTTATTTATTTATTTCTTTCTTTTTTTTTTTTTTTTTGTTCCTCGAATGCCTTCAGGGCACTTTTGGCCAGCGGGAGAGGTGTGAGGTTCAAACTCCAGCAACCTGAGGCTGACAGCTTTGTGGAAGCAGCCACTTAAAGGCCTGAGCTAGGGCCAGGCCCCCTGATCTTTATTTCATTTATCGCCTGATTTTTTTTTCAAAATTTTATTGATAAACAGATAGCAATGAGACAGTTTCAAATCAAATCGGAAGTACAGATTCAACAAATAATACACTGCATATATTCTTCTTAGTGGTTAATTGCTGTACAAGATGCAGACTTGAGATCCTATTTACAAACACCATTAGAACAAAATCGCCTGATTTTACAAATGTATTTCCCATTGTGTGACTCCACTATTTATTCATTTATTCTACTGGTGAATAAATGAATAATGTAACTATAAACAAAACAGCTATATCCATTTTTACTTGTGCCTTTTTAATGTGTCAAAGTTTCTATCTGCTTTCCTTGGAGTGGAATTTCTGGGTCATATAAAGGTTTTCAATTTAACTAGATCATATCAAATTGTCCACCAGAGTACTTCACATCAAGGATATTTACAGAGCTTAATTCATAATAGTCCCAAATCTGGGAATAATCTAATCTCAATCAACACGGGTGGAGAAATGTTATAGTATGTCAACACTGTGAAATATAACAGTACAAAAGGACTGAGCTACATGCAGCATGGATGGATACGTTGAGACAGGTATGTTGAGTACAAGTAGCTAGCACTTACAAGAAATTCAGAACAGGCAAGATGATTTATGACAAAAGCAGTACCAATAATAATTACCTCAGGGTGGAGGTTGGGGGAGGGCACAATGGAACCAATGAGGTGGAGAGTGGCTGGGTCTGGCAACTTGAGTGTATCTATCTACACATTTGTAGCTAAGAAGTCACTGAGGTGTAGATTTAAGATGTGTGTGTTCCATGCACTGTACTTTTTTTTTTTTTTTTTTGAGAGAGAGAGGTTTTCATTATGTATCCCAGGATGGCCTCAAACTCAAAATCCTCCTGTTTCAGCTTGATGAGTAGCTAAGATTATAGTTATGCTTTTTTTTTTTTTCACATTTGATGGAAATCCCAGTACTTGGAGAGATCTCAAACTAGATCTTTGTAGACTGTGTACTACAAATATGTAGTGGCTTGCCAATAGTATTTAACAAACTAAATTTTATTTTTTAAAAAATAATTTTATTGAGAAACAAATAGCAATGAGTTTCAAAACTGATTACTAGCAGTTTCAGTAATACATTGCATATTGTCGTCTTAGTAGTTATTCATTGTATAAGATGCAGACATGATATCCTGTCCACAAACACTATTACAATAAACCTCTCTATTCACTGAATTAAGAGAATGCAGCTGTATATCTATCCTATTTTGACAAACTAAATTTTAAAATTCCATTGTGGTCACATTTAACATCTTCCTTCATATCCTGTTGTTTTTAGTTTCTAAAACTCATCCACATTGCTGAGGCAATAAAAATGCTCTATTTTTTAAAAAAATCTTTATTTGGTACAGGGTCTTGTTATGCAGCTGACTCATAGTGATCCTCCTGTTCAGCCTCCCCAGCACTGAAATTACAGGTATGATCCACCACACCTGGTTTTGGTAGCCAGCATGGTATGTGGTACAGGGGATTGAACCTAGGCCCTTGTGCTTGCCAAGCAGGTGTTTAGACCACTAAGCTCTCTCCAGTCCAACTGTTCTATATTCTCTCTAAAAAAAAAAAAAAAAAAAAAAATTCAAGCAGTTTTTCACATCCTTAATCCACTGCAGATTTACATTTGTGTATGATGCAATGGGGCTGACCCAGTTTTTATTCTACTTAAAAGGACATGGATAAGCAAACATGGTTTCTTCAGTACAGGTTTAGTGAGATTTGAGCAGAGACTGGCCCTTGTAGTCTTGAGTTTCCTCTTTCTGCAATGGGGAAATCATTTTCTTCTAAACATTTCCTTCTTTCAGCTCTCTGCCTGCAGTGAAAGCACTGAATACTTGACCATATAAAAATCTACAGGTTATATGCTGAGGATATAGCTCAGTGGTGAAGCGTTTGCCTAGCATGTGTGAGGCTGTGGGTTCAATTCCGTGTCAAAAACAAACCAACCAAAAAAGCACTACAGGGTCCCCTCTGTTCTGCTACAACATGTCTTTAAAACAACCCAGCCAACTACAGTTATACTTAAACTCTGCATTGTCAATTTGGGGCTTGACTGCAGATAGTGCCAGGCATGACTGAGAGAATGGATGCCACCTATTTGTTCCCACAGCTTCTGCCATTGCAGCTGTCCACCCCTGCCTGATGGATGGCAGACACCTTCCAGCCTAGCCACTGTCTTTCCTGTATGATGCAAAGGCCTGAGTGTGAGCAGAGAGCAAGGACTCACCACACGTGGGGTCACCTCTATTATCTCTGGACTCAGAGAACTCTGCCCCACACAGGAAGGTGCTGGTCTGTTCTCAGGTTATGAACCCAGAAAACTGGCTGGGTTTGAGTCCCTACTCTGTTGCTGCTGGCTTGGGGTCCTTGAGCAAGTTACTATTTTTTTTTTTTAATTTTATTTATTTATTTATTTGAGAGAGAGAGAGAGAGAGAGAGAGAGAGAGGCCAGCTCAGCCCACCAGGGGGCAGGGCTGGCTGGCATGTGGTGCTGGGGGATTGAACCGCGGTCCCTGATGCTTTTGCTAAGCTTGTTCTAAGTAGGTGCTTTAGACCACTGAGCCATCTCTCCAGCCCGCAAGTTACTATTTTTGAGCTTCAGTTTTTAGTCTGTAGTATGAGGTAACACCGGTAAGGCACTTCAAACTGTGCTAAGCAGTTTTAGTGAAAATGACCCATTGTTATCTGCAGCAGGAATTTTAGGGAGAGATTTTAGGCTGTCAAAACTCCTGGTCATCCTCAAAGATGTGTTCTCTTTCTTAGGGATGGGAGCTCTGAAATAGAAAAGGTCTCCAAGACACCCATTCCGAGTTTCAGATCCCCACCTGCTCCTAGTACTGAGGCATCAAACTGGGAGTTTATGTGTTACATACATCAGCCCCTGGACAAATCTCAAGCTTGCAATCTTCCTGCCTCAACCTCTGAAGGGCTGGGATTATAGGCATGTGCTACTGCACTACCTCTGGACAAACTTAGCTTTTGGGTCTGGGAGGACCAATTATATGAGATCACAAACGCAGTCACATGTGGGGTCCCTGGACTTACAGTTCACACTTAATGACTACACATTTGAAAATCTCTCTATGGCCAGCTTTTCTGGGAAGATGCAGCCTGGCTGGGACCTCCTTTCTACCTGGAGAAACTTGGCTCAGGTGTCATGGAACAGCATCTGGGTGTGGCACCTCGAGGGCCCAAATGAGATACACCATGCTCCCGTGCTGCTACCAGCTAGGATAAGAGTAGAGGTTCCAGGAGGCTCCCTAGACAGCGGCAGTACTCAAGCTCCCGTAACCTTGACCTCAGCAACCCTGGCGAAGCTCTCCCTGCAGGACCCAGGATGAGTGGCAATTGGCCAACTCTACCACTGGGCCCTATCTTGACTTCTCCAACATGTCTCTATGCTCAATGTCTTCTCCCCCACTAATCCTGAAACAAGACATATGCAGCCGACTTTTCGCTGTTCAGCCTGGGAAGAAAGCAGCATAGTTATCTGCACTCCTCCTCAGCCATGAGGTTTAGGACAGTCTCACCAGCCTGCCAGGAAGCCTTGCCCATGTTCCCCAACTGCCAAGAGGCCCCTTGAGCACAGGAAGTGCTTAATGAATAGTATACCACACAGGAACACTTCATGCTCAAAACACTCTGATACCCTATTTTCTGTTCCCTCCCAAACAGGCGTTCCCATTGAGCTACAACCCCAGACCCTTTTGCCTTTTATTTTGAGACAGAGCCGTAAGTCACTAAGTCTCCCAGACAGGGTTTGAACTTTCGATCGTCCTGCCTGCCCAGGGTGCTGTGATCACGGGCGTGCAACGCCACTCCGACTCCAGTTAACACCTGCTTTAGAGCCCGGACAACTGCCAACCCGTTTCCAGCTTGCTGCAAAATAAAGGCCCTTCGCAAACGCGCGCCTTCTCGGACCGGGGCAGATAAAGCAGCTTGCCCACTGAGTGCCCGCTCCTCTCCGCCCGCGCTCGGTTCCCCGCCTGGAATGCCGTCCCCGCCTCTGTGCCGCCGGGGTTTCCGGTCCGCTGCAGCCGAAGCCCGGCGCCTGTCTTCCCTGGGCCCGGGCTTCCCCGCGCCCCGCCCGTGCAAAGCTTCCCTTCCGAGGCCGGCGAAGAGTCGGAGGCGGCTCCCGGGGAGCTGCGGTGCAGAGGGGCCCCAGGTGTCTGCAGCTTTCCGGAACCCCCGCCGCGGGCCCGCCCCCGGAGTCGGGGCGACTGAGCTGAGGGCGAGGCCGGCTGTCACCTGAGGCTACCGCAGAAGGCGGTAGGCGTCCCCGGCTCTTGGACCGAGCACTTCGTCGCTAAGGTTCGTCAACCGCGCCCTGTTCCCTGGGGGGAAACTGAGGCCCGCGGAAGGACGTGACTTGGACGGGCACGCGGCAAAGAAGCGCGCTCACGTCGGGACTTTCGCCTAGCCTCTAGGTCCGGTGGGTGGCGGGGCCGGACGGGGCCGGCGGGGCGGG